ACAATCTTATTAAAAAAACATTTTTAAATATTTCATATATCGCATTTACAGTTATTCTAAATAAACAACCAAGAATATGGAGGAAAGAAATAAGTGAAGATATGATAGTTAGATTATCTATTTTCTATTTATTAATTTCGTATAAATAGACAATGTAAAACATTTAATTAAGTTAATGAGAACGTAAAAAATATTAAAAATTTAATTTTTGTAGTACAAATTTATTTATTTAATTATATTATTAATAACTTAATATGTATATTTTTTTATTATATTATATAGATAAATAGGTTAAATTATCAAATCTAACAAAAATTTCTTAAGTCCAAGTCTAACCTATTTAAATAAATATACTTTTTTAAAAGCCTAAACTTGATATTTTTTTTATTAAATAAGTCAAGTTAGGTCAGACTTTAAATAGACTAAATCATATGCCCCTTATTTAAGGCTTGTCTTATTTTCACCCATATATCTCACATCAGAGTGAGACATTTCTCACTTTCGTGTTGTTTGTTGTATTCTATGTGTATTTTGCAGATGATGATCATCTCGATGAAGATGATGAGACTTAGATGTGACATCAGGACTCTTAATTTTTGTTTATGATATGATTCATTTTTGTTTCCTTTGAATTGCAATCACTAGTGCAAAAATAAGATTTCTTGACACACTTTTTATGTTGGATGTTATTCATAGGACACAAAAAATGACACAGTGACATACTTGTAAATATGTCAAAACATTTTATGATGGATATTGACTTACTTGTCATAAAATTTTCTTTCTATAATAAGTAAGTCAACATCTGTCATAGAATGCGTTGGTAAACCTTCGACTCTAACCTTTCTGTGACGACTGTGACTTGCTCATCATAAAAGGAAATATTTTATGGCGAATAAATTGTAACCCACCATAAAAGATCTTGTTATTACTCACGATGAAAGTGTTAACTTAATTTGCACTCCATTGATTCATCTCTTTCTCCAAAGGCAACTTAGAGGCGATTTTTGACGACTCCTCCGTGTATGTTACTTACTCATTTTAGTAATCATTGTCACAAAAGCGTTTCAATGACCACTTTTCCTTCCGTTTTCCTTCAATTCGGTGAGCTTTTCTTCAGTTATCCCTCTTGCTCGCTCCTAGGTTCGTAGCTAGCTTTTCTTCTTCTTATTCCATGGTTTTTAGGATCTGTGGTTGATGCATATTATTCTAAATATAGGTTTTCTCATTATCATTTTTGGTTTGCTCATTACCATTTTTGGTTTTCTCATTACGTGTTTGCTCATTTTGGGTTTGTTCATTAATTATCTATTTTGCTCATTTTAGATTTTCTCAATACCGGTTTCGATAAAATTTGTGTATGAGTCTATATGCACATAAAGAATTGATTTGAACATTAGTTAGATATAGAGTTTGTGTGGTTCCTTTAAGATATGCATAATGATATAGATAACATTATTAGTCAATTTAGATAGTTGACAAAATTATAGACAATCTTAAGTTAGTTGAAACATAGAAATTTAGAAAGTACTATATTAGGCATTTTATATAATATACTCTTAAATTATTTGAGATATAAATAATATACTCTTAAATTATTTGAGACATTAATTTAAATACCTTTTAGGTACCCGTAATTTTAGACCTTTATGTTAATTAGTAACTTTATGTTAGTATAATCAAATATAAATTATTAATTTTGCAATATTAGGCAATAAGAATTAAAATTTAAAAAATATTTTTATTACAATTTAATTTAGTTATAATTAAATGAATACTTCAATTACTACTAATTTAATTTTTGTTGTGTTGACATGGTTAATTACATGCATATATTATATTGATTTTATATATGAGTTTTAACTAAACATAGTTATATTCTTAGATAGCTCAAAGTGTTCTATTATAATTGTTAAGAACTTTAATTTTTCGTTTGAAATTGAATACAATGGTTCCACAATTAGCATATAATCATTGTTTTAATTTTTGAATTGTCCGTTTGGATAGTTTGGAAAAATATATATTTTTATAGTTAATTAATGTTAAGTCTCATTTTAAATTTTATAAGATTTCAGCTGATTTTATTTCATGTTGTTTTTTGGGCAGATACTTGATTGCGATGAATTTGATGTCACCACTTTCATTTTGTGTACTTAGAGATCAATACGAATTGTTGCCAAAATTTTGTCAAATTTAATTTATGAGACTTTATCTTTATGTATTAATCAAGTATAACAAATTATCTTTTTGAATGGGTACAGTCACACCTTATATTAAAAAGGTTGACACAGTTTATGTCAGACAAACGCACTAATGGATCAGAGTTGAATAAATTATTTATGAACAAGTATTGAATATGAGAATAGAGTGGAAATTTTTTTTTTCTGTTTGCACAAAAAAATGTTAAACAATAATAAAAGATTTTATTGTTCTTGTGTGAATTACATCAATTCGCAAAGCAACTGGTAGACATTATACGAGAACATATTTTATGTGGTGGATTTTTCAAAAGCTACACAATATTGACATGACATGATGAATTGTTAGACTTGCCACACAAACAAGTGTGTCAATTACAAAAATAATTAATAAGTCGATTTAGAGATGGATGATCGACTAAAGGACATGATTTGTGGTGTTGGCTTGATTCTTTCAAACACACATTTGTATGATAGTTTTGTGTATTGATATAGAGAAACTTTTGTATACAAACGACCATAATTTTACATAGTTGTTCGTGACGTTAAGAATTTTCAATTTAAGGAAAAAAATGGATAGACTTATAAAAATTTCACAAAATTGATCAAGTTTTTGAGTGAAATGTTTCCCGTTTAGGTAATTTCTTGTAATTCTCGTGTTCATTACACCAAAACTACTAAATTATTTGTTAGACACCTCATTGACTCATACATTTTAATTTTCAATCTTCGTGGGTTCTTTTTTTATAATTTCATGAAACCAATAATAATTTTATTCTATAAATGTTTTTGATTTATCATTTATTTTTGTAGGTCTTTGGAAGCAAACTTGATCTTGCGGGGATTCCTCCAATAGCTAGGGAAAAACTTCGATATATTGCCTCAAAATAAGTCAAACTGTCAATCAAATAGTAATTAGAGTTCAATTAAAATATATTCAACTATAATTTATTTATATTTTATATTCACTAAATTATAATGTCTATGTCAACCTGTTAATCATGAATACGACTATTACATGAAACAAATGTTCATCATCATTATTGACAATATTAAGGAGTCATGGAGGGAGGTAATACATTTTTAAATCAAATTAATTACTTTAAATGATTATGTATCAATTTAATGATTGACTAATATTAAACTTATCTTTATTTTGAATTAATTGTAGATTTTCAAAAATCAAACTCCATTTGCCCATGATGACATGGAAGATATCCACACAAGATGAGCATCTTCTTTTTCTTGAGTCAATATATTAAATTATCATATTTTGTATCCCTATTATGACGGATATTAATTGACCACTTGACATAGAAAATAAACTTTCTATATATTTTTTTTGCTAAGCAAAATTGAATTAAATTAGAGGAATACAAGGGGTACTCCAACCCATATACATAACATAACCAAAGTAAGTAGTGCACCTCTAACAACAGGAGGTAATTAATGAAAACATCTATATTATGTGTTGATCTGTTATAGAATGTGTGAACATTTTATGTCATCAACATCTATATTACGTCTCAAGCAGACATAAAATGTCTTAGTCATATTAGTGAATGATATATGTTAGCTACTTGAATTATAGTTAGTAGTTTTCTAGGCGTGACTAATCTCCTCGTTAAGTTGGAGGCACCTCAAAGGATAGGATAGCTGGCCCCAAGATTTAACGCGACTGCATACACAAGGCAGAATTCGAACTCCTAACCTTGCTTAAGCGTGGATCAACCCCTAATACTGAATCACACGCTTGGAATTATACCTTTTAAGGTAATTTGATATGCAAAAGAGAGAGGGTCACAATAAAAATTAAAAGAAAATAATATTTTCAAAATATTTCCTATAAAATGTAGAAACTTAAATACAATGAAATCACATAAGAAAATATTTTTAAAAGATATTTATTTTTTATAATAATCCAATTTGACGTAAGATAAATGACCTCTTATAAAGGATGATTAATAATTAATTAATTGAGAATAATTTTTTTTCTTGAAAGAATCACTTGATAGAGAAAAAAATATATATATATATATATATATATATATATATATATAATATAATGTGATAGAATATAAATAATAATTAATTGAGATGCGGTGAAAGGAAAAAAGATATATTATTTACGTATGAAAAAGTCTTGAAATCGTTCAAAGAAGAAAAAAAAAAACCTTGAAGAGAAATAGGAAAAATATTAAAACTCTAAAAGTTAAAGCATTAATTTGTTAAACAAAAATAAAATATTTTTTATATTAAAATATTTTTTTTTCTTGACATACATTTATTTTTTGTTTTGAAATTTTTCTTAAATTTTTATTTGCATAAATTTTTATTTCGTTTTAAATTTTTGTCATTACTTTTTTTACTATTTTGAACATGTACTATTTTAAGGAAAAAAGTTATTTAATGTTTGACATGTAATTCAGATAATTAAAAAAAATATCATGGCAGAAACAAAAAACAAATCAATATTTTAAGAGACTAAAAATTAAAACAAAAATATTTTAGAGACTAAAATTAAAAAAAAAAAAAGATAAGTATATTTAAAAAAAAAAAAACATTTAAGCCATATTTATATAATAATCTTCCCTTGATCTTCAAAATATGATTCATCTATTCAAACTCTATAAAGGGAAAATAATATTCATATTTAAGAAAATTCTGTGACTCATATACAGAAAAAATCCTCCTTTTATATATAAACCTTTCAGTTTCCTTAATTGAGTTTACCACCATAAAGAAATTTGTCTTTAAATGCAAATTCTCATTCTCACAAGAGTGCCGTGAGACATCTTCATTTCTACTCTCATTCATTGAATTAAGCAATCAACAAGAGTCGAATTTCATTCCCAAGTCTCAAAAACTTGTTTTCTCCCATCATGTCTCTTAGTAGCTATTGTTTATGTCTCTTTCTTTTGGTGGGTTTAGGAGTAGAATTTGCACATGCTAATTACAATGATAATGGTTATGGTCATCATCAACATCAACATCATCACCGTCATCGTGGTCGTCATGCCCGCGATATCAAAAAAAATCCTGTAAATACAGCAGCTTCTCATTACCAGACAGTCATCGTGGATCCATCTGGGCATGGAAACTTCTCTACAATACAATCTGCTATTGATTCTGTCCCTTCCAATAACCAGTATTGGGTTTCCATCCACGTGAAAGCAGGCACCTACAAGTAAAATTTACAAGCAACTTTCTCTCTTATATTCAATGAAAATCACAATTTAATTTATATATATTACACATACACATGTTATATTCTATTATTAAGTTGCTGAAACTGAATAGACACCAAGAAATTCAAACTCTAGATGAAACTAGATATTTAAGGTTTGATTTGAAATTGAAAAATATATTTAGTCGTTATGAACAAAATGGGGGTGAGGTATAAAGAATACTGGGTTCTAATACATGTAGAACCAAATAGTAATATTTTGTATCAAAAGAGATGCTAAACCCTAAATTGTGTGCGTAAATGTACATAAGTGTGCGTGTAAGTGAGTAACTGTAAGTCTTTGATACTGACGTATTGTGTTCTGTGTGGAAAGGGAAAAGTTGCTTATCCCTTATGACAAGCCATTTGTCGTATTAAAAGGAGAGGGACAAAAGAGAACTTTTGTTGAATGGCAAGATCATGAATCAATTGCACAGAGTCCTACATTTGCAAGCATGGCTAACAATGTCGTTGTCAAGTCTATTACTTTTAAGGTGAGAAATATTCTCAGTGGTTTTGCATTAATATCATTTTTGTTTACTGTCATTGCACTAATTGTTTTTTTTTTTTTTGTGTATTTATTTATTTATCTCATTCTATGAAAAAATTATTACTTTGAAATTTTTTTTATTATTTCTTTTATTATATATTTTGGCTATACATATTCTTCTCTTTTATTTATTTTTTCTGTTTCTCTTTAGTTTTATGTAGTTAACTATAATGAAAAGTTTTATGTCAATTATTAATTCATTTCTGCCTAGAAATTTATGCTATTTGTTACAAAGAAAATCATATGATTCTGATTAAACATTGAAAATCTGTTGGTCTAAGAAGTTATAAAATTCTTGACAAAATTTTTGGTGTATAGAATATCCTGATTTTAATAACTATAACTAAAAGTCAATAAGATAATGTATATAACCTGTGCAGGGGGTATATTTTAATTTCTTTTTACATATTATTTAATTTTTTTCCTATACTGAAATATCGTCGCCAGAAATTTTCACCATTAAAATATAAATAAACCAAATATTTTTAAAAGAATATTATTTCTCAATTTTAAAATTTTACTTTTAATGTCACTAATTAATAGTGGTCAATATTTTTTTAATTAGAGAAAACAAAATTGTAGAAAAATTTAGACAGGTCAACGTTAATTTTTAGTCATATTTATTTATATTCATTTAATGAATTTAATTCTAATAAATTAAACAAACTTTTTTCCATCCTTTTAAAATTTAGAATTTTTTTTGTTCTTAAAAAGTAAATAATTTTAAATTTTAGCCTTTGTAATATTTTTAATTTGATTTCCATCCCTTCAAAATTTAAATCACTAATTTTTTAATTTTAATATTTATTTTAAGAAAAATAAATAACATTATGTTTAAACATTTAGTTGAAGTAGTACTAGATACAACTTAGAATGATTATTTAATTTAAACATAAATAATTGATGAGTATCATATATTATTATATATAGACAAAAATAATAATTTTTAATTTTAAAAATTAAAAAATAAAGAAAAATTATTATAGAAAACAAAATCAAAATTTATTTATTTTATAAGGATTAAAAGTATATTTAAATCTAATTTAATTTATACATAGTCTATTGTTATATATATATATATATATATATATATAAATTTAATAATCATTCTGAATTTTTTTTAATGTCTTGCTGCATATTAATCCAGTTTTAATGATATGTTATTTTGTGTTTTGATTGTTTGAGGCTGATTGATTTTTGAACACAGTAACTAAAGTTGGCTCTATGATCTGGAACAGAATACATACAATGATTACAAAACTGCTCAGAACATGGAACCTGCGGTGGCTGCAATGATAAGCGGCGACATGTCATACTTCTATGATGTTGGGTTCTATGGTTTGCAAGACACTTTGTGGGATGATCGAGGAAGACATTACTTCAAGTCTTGCACCATTGCAGGTGCTATGGATTTTATCTTTGGCACTGCCCAATCTATATACGAGGTAATAATGATCTTGCTTTCTCTTTTGTTCTTGGTTATGGTTAATTATTTACGTGTATGACATTTAGTTTTACATGATCATTTAAAAACAGTCACTAGAGGGTTGAGTTTCAAGTTGGAAGGGGTCAAATAAAAAAAAGTAGATATAATTTTTTAATACATATATTACTTATATTTTTATATAAAAGAATTCTAATTTTATTATAAAAGTCTATTAAATCAGAATAAATTATGTTAATCTCTATATTGTATTTTATAACAATAATAATCAATAAATTTTGAAAAAAAAATAATTTTAAATTGTTAGAAAGTAGAAAAAAAATGTAATCAATATAAAAGACTTTATAATGCAATAATTTACAACGTCTAAAATAATAATAGATTTTTAAAAAAGAAAATTATTAATAGTGTAACATTTTGCCTAAATAAAGAAAAATATATAAATATCTCTACAATAAATATTATATAAGGAAAAGTAATATATTTATCTAAAAAGAGAAAAAAAAAGTCTTATTATCTTCCCAATTAACTAATACTTAAAATATATAAAACTTAGATTTTATTATTTCTACTACCAAACTCCCAATACGATAATGAACTTATTATTATTATTATTATTATTATTATTATTATTATTATTATTATAAACAAATTTAGGAGTCTAAGGCCCCCAAACCCTTTTACATCCATCCCTAGTTTAGCATCGTATGCAGAGTTTTTTTTATTTAATTTTTGTTGTCGTCTTTATAATTTTTATGATAAAAAAATAGTCATTAAAAACTATAATTACGGAATAATAATATCAAAACCTTTTAACTTCCCAGAACTATATTATATTTATTTAAAATTATTTTATAAGTGCGAGTGCAATATTAATTTTGTTGTAGAATCCGATTAGTCAATAGTATATTATATGCATTAATGACTCTTATTTGAGAATAAGTAGATATTAATTATTAAGATATGGAATAATTGTTTTAAATATACAAAATAAAAACATATTTAAAGTATATATATAATAATTTTTTATTTTATTTTGCAGCAATGTACCATATCCGCTATTGATGCAAATCTAGGTCCTGCCATCCGTGGTTTTATCACAGCACAAGGGAGAGAAAATCCAAACGACACAAATGGGTTTGTTTTCAAGAGTTGCACTATTGTCGGAAATGGTACAACTTACTTGGGAAGACCATGGAGAGGTTATGCTAGAGTTCTTTTCTACAACAATATGATGTCCAACATTATTATTCCAGAAGGTTGGGTACCATGGAATTTTGCTGGGAATGAGTAAGATCCTTCTTCTAAACCCATTTTGTGTACATTCATATAAATACGAGTTTAATAATGATATACTAACAACCAAAATAATTTTGCATTGTCATTTCATTACAATTCACATAATTATAAGTTTGTTGAGTTAATTATATAATAATTACTTTTGGTATTCATATAAACTGTAATTATATCGACCGATCACCATTAAACCCTATATATATATATATATATATGATTTGTTTATTAAAAATGCATTAAAAATAAGAATGGCCAACATTTTTTATGTTTCATATTTTTTTTAGTTTATTAATTTTTGCTTGGGGTTATTATGGAATTTCATCTATGTGGATCTATTTTTTCAGGGGTGGCATAACATTCGCAGAGTATGGAAATTCTGGACCTGGTGCTGACAAATCCAAGCGAGTAAGTTGGATGAAGAATTTGGATTCAGAAACCATCAATATGCTGGCAAGTACGAGCTTCATTGACAAAGAAGGTTGGATCAAGATCGAACAACAGTTCTAAATCCCTTTGAGAAAAGCACATGTTCAACACCAGCATGCATGTGTAACATTTTATAAAGTTTGTGTACATGATTGCTTATTTTAGTCTTGTTTAGATGTGAGATCTGAAGTCCCAAAACTCCATGTTCATACTATTCATCGTGTGTTTTGATATACGTTGATATAATTAATATAGAATCAACGTGAGTTTACACAATTATAAATTTGGATAAATAAAACTTCAGGATTGATTTGGTTTGATGAAGAAACTAATAATATAGTTGCTTCCAAATAATCGTAAATTCAAACATCTTGAAATCAATGTTATTAATAGTAAAACATGCGGTAAACGTGATTAGTAAATGTGATTCTGAATATTTTGGATACAACGAAATTGATCTCAGACATATTAGAAGTAAACTAAACATACTTTTAACATTATCCAAAATCATGTCTACATGACAATTAGTGACAAATCTTTTATTTAACAGTACCTATCCCTCATGTTTTTTCTTTCTTTCTTCATTTTTAATGAGTATAGACAATTTTTCATGTACGATACTCTTAATAAAATAATATAGGTTTAAATATATTTTTTAATTCTTGTAATTTGAGTATTATTATTTTATAGTCATTTTAATTGATGTTTTATAATTTGGGTTGATGATTGAATTAATCAAGATGTTTAATTAAATGATTTTATCCTTTAATTTTTAAATAATAAAAATTAATTATCCTTACAAATACAAGATTTGAATTTAAGATTTTAAGGTTTGAAGATCAACTATAATATATAACAAATATTTTTAATTCTTAAACACCTTTATTAAATAAAATATAAAAGTACATATTTGTAATTCTTAAACACCTTTATTAAATAAAATATAAAAGCACAAAGTGTCTCAATTCCATTAATTTCTATAATGTAAATTACTTTTTCATTTCTATTTTGTTAATTCTTTTCTTTCTTTTCATGCTTTCATAAAATTATTACAATCTTATAATTTTAATCTCTATAATTTTGTCTTACTTTTTGTTGTATAAATATAATTTAGATTATTTATTTTGTAATTAAATTAACTTTTTCAAATTTTTTACTAGTCCACACAAGATAATGTATTAAAACCCCTCCATTTTTTGGGGTATGGTATCAACTCCCAAATAAAAAAAATTATTTTAATAATATTTATAATATAAGTTTAATTGATTTATTTAATTGAGTTTATAATATAAATAAATTGTGTTTTAAATAAATAAAATAAAATAGAGATAAGTTATGGGTTTAAAAGAAGCCTTTGAGTTTGGACTCTTGAGCTCAATCTAGAATCTTATTAAAAGAAAGACAAGAAGAGTTAGGTCAGATTATGTGTTAGTTTTCTAGGAATCCTAAGAGTCCTTGTAGAGAAAAACCTAGTTCTGATCTTCGAGGAACGTGTAGCGAAGCCTCGAAAGAATGGAGATTGTGCCTATGCATTGGAGATTGCCATCTAAAGTAAGAAGGAGAGTGAGATTGTCTCACTTTGTGAGTGTGTATGAGAGGTATGAGTAGTGAGGTGACCCTTGAGTCTCCTTATGGTTTATAATTGCTTGTGATTAATGGAGTTGATGTGATATTGATTGAATTATTGTTGCATGAGTATGTATTACCATGAAATTTTGTGATTGATAATGATGTCATGGTGCCTCTTTTAGGGGTTAGGATTGTATGTATGAACATACCTCCACATTAGGTGATTTCTCTCGGTGCGATTTACCTAATAGAGTTTCGTTTGTTGGAATCGAAACTATACGTTTGAGGCTATAGTTTAGGCTTAAGAATCACATAAAAATGTGTTAGATCAATTGGATCCCTTAGACTATAGGTTTTGTTGCTAAGAAACATTAACATTATTATAAGACAAATTGTTTTTCAAATCACATAGAAAGACACACTTAGAAAGACATTTGGTTATGATGATATGTAATCTCTTAGAAAAATCACTTTGTTTGTTTGAGACGAATGCATAAATATATATCATTTATTATGTCTGATAACTAAATTATCTTTGTCTATGTTATTCCTTAACAGATCAAAGAAATAAAAGCTTCTTTGAAACTTAAACTTCAGAAAGAAATGAAGATATGCTTTTCACTAGGGAAAGGACAAACAAATATCTCAAAGTTTGTGAAGCCTCACATAAAGTCATTTCCGATTGGTGCATGCAACAATTCCTTTCATTTTGTACATTAAAGGTGATAAGTAACTTCCTTGATCAAATAAGAAGTGACAATGTGGTCAAATGAATTTAATATTTGCATTTAATGCACCAACAAATATTTTTATCTACAAGGAAGAAAGACGAAACAAGCTTGTGGGAGAAGTTCAAAGATTTGCAACAATTATCTTCAAGAAGCACCTATATAAAGAAGCTTGAAGACTAAAAAAGAAGCGAGAACAACAATTATAAAAATTATTTTCACTCTTTCTATAAATGTCTGTACTTAAATTGGTTGTATCAAATCTTAAAAGTAAGACAATAAAATAAGTGATTTCTCAGCTTTAACTTTGCGTTATTTCTTGAAGCCTGAAGAGACTTTGTTGTAAAAAATACTTGGTTATTGAAACCTAGAGAGGTTTTATTGTTTAAAGAATATTTGATTAATTGCTTGAAGAAACAAGTCAAAGAATACTTAAATTGAGCCAAAAGTCACTTGTGAAAGAATAATTATATCTTTGTGAGGGATAATGGAACTTGATCAAGTTGATTAAGAATTGGATGTACTATCAGTGGTTGAGACAAACTAATATAAAAATATTATGTTACTTTTAAGGTCTTGATACTATTTCACTATTTCAAAAAAAGTATTGAGTTTTCATTTGACACTATTCAACTCCCTTCTAGTGTCTCTTTTTTGTCCACAATTTGGTGTCAAAGCTTAGTCTTTGATAGCGTTGAGTATCTAACCATGCTAAAGAAAAAGATCCTAAGATGAGGAGTGGTGAGGGTCAATACTTACTCGAAGAAGTTTCTCTTACAAGATCACCAACATTTAATATAGAAGACTACCCATATTGGAAGGACAAGATTAAGATGTTCATCAAGTCTACCCTATATCACCTCTAAAAGATCATCATACGTGGTGATGCACTTGTGACTGAGCTAGAAAAATGAGTAAACATGGGAAGATTACAACATCTTGTAACTCAACACAAAGGCAAGATACATTTTAGCTTGCTCTTTGTCTCGAATGGAGTACAACAAGTTTTGTAGTTGCAAGATTGCTAAAGAAATATGAAAAGTCATCAGGATAATTCGTGAAGGAGTTAAGTATGTAAAGCTCAAACAAGATGTTAGTCTTTAGAAACATTATGAGTTGTTCTTTATGAAGGAGAATGAAACCATTGATGAGATGTTTGGAAGATTCCAAACCATTCTCAATGGGTTGAAATCCTTAGGAACTAAGTTTTTAAAAGCTCAAAACAACCTAAAGATCTTGGAAAGCCTTCCAAAGATCTGGGAGCCAAAAGCCAACGCCATATTAAAGGCTCATGACCTTAAAATTCTTACATTGGATGAGCTATTGGAGCCATAAGAGTTCATGAAGTCCATTAGAACAACAAATATCATTTCAAAGTCAATGATTATGTTGCTCTAAGGACTGACAAACCAATGAAAATAAGGATAAATGGAAAGGTCTAAAGGTGGAATTTGAGTGCAACAACTTTGATGAAAGTTTTGAGAACTCAATAGATGATGAAATATCTCTTATGTCCAAGAAGTTCAATAGCATGTTGAAGGAAGAAGGGATTACTGAGAAGTTTCCATATAAAGAAAGATAGGTTCAAGAAACCTATCAAAAAAGAAAGTCAGGAAGTCATCTAGTATGAGTGTAAGAAGCCCTAACACATGAAGGGTGAATGTACTCACTCAGAAAACGATGGACCAACAAGAAGAAGAGTAACAAGAGTCTAATGGTCACATGGTAAGATCTAGACAACAAAAGCAGAAGCAATTCAAACAATGAAAAGGCCAACATTTGTCTCATATAGCAGATACAAATGAAACAAGGATAAAGGTATAATCTGACTTTAACTCTTATTCTAGTTCTTTGAAAGTTTTGATGAAGAAGAGATATATGTCTTATGAGAATCTTCTAGCAAAGTCTCACATGATCACTCGAGTATAAGGAGTTTGAAGAAAAATACAGCTTTTTATTACTAAAAAATGAAAAGTTCAAGAATGATCTGTCAGATGCTACCAAAGAGATTCAAACTCGCAAATTCAAAACCACAAGCAATGAACCACTCGAGATCAAATTGCAAGTTGAAAACATAATCAAACTAAATACATTAAAGGACTGGAAATTATTCTAATTTGTATAGTTTTAATTTTATTTTTGACATATGAATCTTAAACAAATAACATAATTAATATTACATATTTTTAAATGATTTTTAAATAATAATTTTTTACAACTTCAAAGATTAAACCTAATCAAATTGCAAAAAAAAAAAATTAATTTGATTCAGATTTTATAATACATTCAAATTGAAGCAAATCGAATCACATTTAATTTTTTTATTTAATTAGAATAATTTTTAAGTCAAAAATACATCCAATCAATATGTATATCCTAATATTTTTCAATTGGATTTCAATTTCATATGACATGTCGTTAGTCAAAGCTGCACTTTTAGAATATGTTAGTTTTAATAGCGAGTCTAACTTGGAATTCCACGTGGACTTGCAATCTAATTTTAAGAAAAAGTGTTGATGGAGATGAATAATTAATTGTGTATAAAAATATTATATCTACGTATAAAATTAGCAAATAAAGAAAAATACCTTTTGTCCACTCATTTTTAAAATGGTATTCTTAAATAAAAATTTAAACATTACATTCCTATGTTGTAAGTTTGTTATATTTTTATTAGAAAAATATTAGCAAACATATTTTTTTAATGATTTTTTGAACAAATTTTCTTTTTCAATTAGTTAAAATTTATTAAAAAATACAAAAGTTTGCGAGTTATACACTTTATTTAATGTCGCATTCTCTCTTGATTTTGTAATTTTTAATAAATTCTACCCAATAAAAAAGAGTATATGAAGAAGAGTGTGTTAGCTCACCTCATTTTAATAATAAATATTTTAAAAGTTATATATATATATATATATATATGATTTTTTATATTTTAAGAATAAATTATATTAATGATGCATAAAAGTTAAACTCATTCATTTTATTATCTTAATTA